GCCGCGGGCGGAAGCGGGGGCCCCACGAGGGCGGGGAGCCGCGAGGCGGGCGGTGCGGCTGGTGGGCCCTGGCGCCCGCCTGTCTGCAGCCCTTGAACACGCCGCGGGGCTTTCTGCTGTTCCTGTGCGCCGCCTCCTTCCTGCAGGGCATGACGGTCAACGGCTTCGTCAACACCGTGGTCACCTCCATCGAACGCCGCTATGACCTGCACAGCTACGAGAGCGGCCTGGTGGCCAGCACCTATGACCTGGCCGCCTGCCTCTGCCTCGCCTTCGTCGGCTACTTCGGGGGCCGCGGACACAAGCCGCGCTGGCTGGGCTGGGGCGTGCTGACCATGGGGGTCGGCTCGCTGGTGTTCGCGCTGCCACACTTCGCTGTGGGCCCCTACGAGGCCGAGGGTGACGCGGGCGTCAGCGCCTGCCCGGCCAACCGCAGCGCGGCCTGCGGCCGCAGCGCCTCGGGCCTGTCCGGCTACCGGCTGGTCTTCATGCTGGGCCAGTTCCTGCACGGGGTCGGCGCCACGCCCCTCTACACGCTGGGCGTCACCTTCCTGGACGAGAACGTCAAGTCCAGCTGCTCGCCCGTCTACATCGGTGAGTGGAGCCGGCGAGGGGTGGCAGCGGCCGACGCTGGCCCGGCCCCGCATGAGCCTCGTGTGCGTCTCCCGTGGACCACGCGTGGTCACATGTGGCCGCAGTTGCTCACAGGGGAGGCAGCAGGTTAGCCCTGGCCTCCGTTTCGCCCTGGCCGACCCCAGCCCGACCCCCACGTGTGTTCTGAGGGGTCCTGGGCAACGGCGTGACCAGGCACAGGTCGCTCATGCCGGAGTCGAACCCCTGCCCCCAGACCCTCACGTCTGCCTGGGGATATTTCCAAGTGTCCAGCCTCAGCCACCCACTTCCCGCCAGGCGAGGCCTCACTCGGGGCCTGGCTGCCCCACCGGGCGCTGCAGGCTGCGGGCCCGCTGCCTTGCTCCCCACAGACTGTTCATCTAAGCCGCTTAGTGGCTGCCATCGCAGGGACCAGGGGCACTTTGGGCCACCTTGCTCCAGCGAGGAAGTATCCCACCCGCCGACCTCCCAGGCCCAGCCCATGCCTGCGGGCCCCCAGCCCCGGGATGCACCTCATCCTGCATGGCGAGCGGCTCAGGACCATGGCCCTTTTGAGGGGCAGAGTCCCAGTGCCACCTGCAGCTGGCTCTGAGGGAAAATTGAAATCCCCTTAAAAAGTTGGCACCAACAGACTGAGCGGAGGCCGCACAGACGAAAGTTCTGCTTTAAAGGGCCCCTCCCCGGGACGGGGGGCGGGGGGCAGGCGCGGGGTCTGAGTCACACGCCCGCCAGCCCGGGGTGGGTGGGGCGCAGGCCGGGCCGTCTCCCCACACTCCTGCTTCCTCTCCAGCCACCTTCTACACGGCGGCCATCCTCGGGCCCGCAGCCGGCTACCTGATCGGGGGCGCCCTGCTCAACATTTACACGGATATTGGCCGCCGGTGAGTGACCGGGGGTCTCTCCTGCCCTCATGTCCACAGGGGGCCCGAGCGGCCTTGGAGCCGGGGCCGGGCACCAGCGGAGTGTCAGGTGGTCGGGGACTGAGGCTCTGGCCGACCTGGGCGCCCGTGAGTGGCTTCACGCACGGGCCTGGGGAAGGGGACGGTGTGGCCAGATGGCTTCCGGAAGCCGTGTGAGACCAGACCACAGCCCCTCTGACGCCTTCTGCAATGGGAGCGTGACTCACCTGCTGCCAGTGTCGGCCCCTTTCGTGTGGGTTCTCCCCGACACCAGCGGAGTGTCCCCAAGTCAGCGCGGCTCTGGCACCGACTTCCTGGCGGGTCCCTGGGTCCCCTACACTTCTGTCCCCTGGGCTACAACTTGGAGGTTCCCACGACTGCCTCCTCAGCTCCGTAATTTGCTAGTGGCTCACGGGACCCAGGAAGGCACTCATTGGATCTCCGGCGTGTTACGGGGGGGCTCAGGGGCAGGCGGGTGGCAGAGCCACACGGGCACGGTGGGGAAGGGCCACCTCCGGGCCCTCCCAGCGGGGTTTGACGAGGCCGCGTCACGTAGGCGTGGCCGAGTGAATGGCTGACCACCGGTGGTCAGGAGGGTCCTCGGAGGCCCAGCAGTGGGGCCGAAAGCCCCAACTCACTAAGCTCATGCTTGGCCTTTCTGATGAGCAGTCCCCCACCCCAAGCCCCCGAGGGACCCGCCGAGAGCGGCCGCGGTAGAGCCAAGGACACTCCCGTCGCCCGTCACTCGGGAAGCGGCGAGGGGTTGGGCAGCCGTGTGCCAGGAACCGGGGCAGAGACCAGAGCTGTTTCCTGTTACTCTGTGCCGTGGGTCTCTCTCTCCTCTCGTCTGTGGTGCCGGGTTTTGTAAATCTGAGCAGCAGGGAGAGAGACAGAGACAGAGACAGAGACAGACAGACAGACAGAGACAGACAGACAGACAGACAGAGACAGGCAGACAGGCATAGAGCCTGCGGCGGGCGGGGGGTCCTCGGGGCGGAGCGGGGCGCTGGAGGCTGGCCCCGTCCTCGGCACCACTGTCAGGCTGGCTCCCCTGACGTCTGCTGGGACACGGGGTGGCCCTGCCAGCTACACCTCGAGCTCTCTCTGCAGATGGCACGTCCCCATCGAGGGTCTAGCGCTCTGCCACCTCTGGCCTCAGTTGACTCAACTGGGTGTCCATGTGCACGCCCTGTGCAGAGCGCAGGAGGTAGGTGGGGCCCGCGTCCCTTGCTCTGCGCCCCCAGCCTGCATGGACCAGCACGAGGGACGTCCCGCTCATGTGCCCCGGACGCATGTGGGCGGGACGCTGAGCCCCGATGCCTCTCCCCACAGGACGGAGCTGACCACCGAGAGCCCGCTGTGGGTCGGCGCCTGGTGGGTGGGCTTCCTGGGCGCGGGGGCCGCGGCCATCCTCCTCGCGGTCCCCATCCTCGGCTACCCGCGGCAGCTGCCAGGTGGGTGCTCCTGCCCCGGGGGTGCGGCGTCCTGCCCCTGCCCCCGCCCCGGGCCGTCTGGGACACCGAGGAGCATGACAGAGCCCGCCCTCCGTCCTGCGGGGCCGCCCGGCCACCCCTGGGCCCCCCGCCCCGCGTCCT